CTACGGATGAAAGGGACTTGGGGGTCACGACTGACCACAAGATGAACATGAGCCTTCAATGCGATGCTACAGTTAGTAAAACAAGCAAAAAGCTGGCTTGCATCCATAGATGCTTCTCAAGTAAATCCCGGGACGTCATTCTCCCGTTGTCCTCGGCCTTGGTGAGGCTGCAGTTGGAGTATTGTGTCCCGTTTTGGGCTCCACAATTCAGAAAGGATGTGGAGAAGCTTGAGAGAGTCCAGAGAAGAGCCACGCGCATGATCAGAGGTGAGGAAAACAGACCTTATGATGAGAGGCTGAGAGCCATGGGACTCTTCAGCCTGGAAAAGCACAGGCTCAGCGGTGATCTGATGGCCACCTATAAATTTATTAGGGGTGACCACCAGGATCTGGGGGAACGTCTGTTCATCAGAGTGCTCCAGGGGATGACAAGGTGGAACGGTCACAAATTCCACCATGACCGTTTCAGGCTGGACATAAGGAAGAACCTCTTTACTGTCTGAGCCCCCAAGGTTTGGAACGGACTGCCGCCAGATGTGGTTCAAGCACCCAATTTGAATGCCTTCAAGAGACATTTGGATGTTCATCTTGCTGGGATCCTATGATCCCTGCTGACTTCCTGCCCCTGGGGCAGGGGCTGGACTTGATGATCTTCCGAGGTCCCTTCCAGCCCTGGTGTCTATGAATCTAATTGCCCATCAAGAAAGACAGATTTCAGGGAGTGTTTACATGCCCCGCCTACATGATTAGCCGGCCACGTGAAGACTCCCTCCACCACCTCTGCCTCCTCCAGCCTTCGGCATGGGGACTCCCTCCCTCCCCCCACCCACCTGCTTACACCTCACAGCGGGGCTTCCCCCTGCGTCCTGTCCCCTCTCCCTCCAGCTGCCTCCCCCTCCCTGCCAGCTGTTGCTCCCTCCCCACTTCCCTCCCTTTCTTCCTTCACTGCCGCCTGGTCCTGACAACAGCCACCACCATGACCCCTCACCCCCCTCACCTCCCCCTGCCCTGCACCTGCCCTGGCCCATGCAGCCTCCCTCAAAGCTGTTGTCGGGGTTCCCCTGCCTGCTCCCTTCCCTCCCTCCCTGCCACCTGGCCCCAACAACTGCCACCACCATAACCGCCCCTTTGCCTCCCCCTGCCCCACTCCTTTCCCTCCTTCCCTCCCTGCCTGCCACTGTGACCCCCCCCCCTTTGCCTTCAGGCAAAGAGGCATGGGGAAGCCCCACTGCTCAGGCACCCAGGGCGTTTGCTGCCATCACAAAGATCCTGGCAGAGGCTCAAACTTGGGCCCACGCAGCCAATCGCTGCCTGCCTTCTCAGCAGCGCATGCACAGTTGGCTAAAAGCATTACGGGCAGACAGACGCACAGACAGATTAAGCCCTTTATATGTATAGAATGTAAAACAAATGCCAGAAGAGAAAAAACATGTAAAAACTGTATGCAATTGATATCAACTGCTCACACTGCTTTCTTCCTTAGATTGCTTTTTATTCAAGGTGGGAACATCTCTCTAGGGCTAGGGACTGAAGTTAAACATAAACTGGTTTAGGTGATCAGAAACTGGTTTAAACCTGTAATACAATAGAAGTTCAGTGCACATAAACCAGTTTTAAAACAGCTGAAACTGGTTTAAGATGAACCTGGTTGAATATAGTATCAGATTTAACTGATTTGGGTCAAACCAGTTTATGCAATGCCTGTCTCAGACCCCTTCCTGGTTCAAGCTAAATGCATGCTTTGCAGCCCTGGGCTGGGCTGTGCTTTCTGCTCTAGAGCTGGGCTGGCCCCTCCCTTCTGCTCCCTAGCCAGAGCAGGGGCAAGGGCAGGGGCGTGGCCAGAAGCATGGCACCCTGAGGCAAACAGAGCAGAGAGGGGGTTTATTCCCCACAACCCCTACTGGGGGACTGCAGCCCCTGTTGCCCATTCCCCCACACCCCAATCCAGCAACGGGGGAAGGAGCATGGCCAGAACTGGCTGGCATGGCCCATGCCATCCACCTACCTTGCCAGCAGCTGGGGATGCAGGACTGAGCCTCGCCAGCTGGCAAGTACTGCTGAGGACAGAGGGGCCAGCATGGGCTAAGTCACCAGGTTTGGATCCTTCTCTGCAGCTGGGGCTGGGGCCATGGAGGCTGCATATGACTCCCCATGCCCAAACCAGGCAGGGCTGTCATGGAGTCCCAGCCCGGCCCGGCAGCACAGGTGGGGGCTGGCTTCCAAGCCAGGGTGGGGGGTTTAAACCCCTCCACAATCATACTTAGTCCCTGCTGGGGCCCTGGCCACACCCCACCAGGTCAGCTTCCCTCCATCCTTGTGGCTGCTGCAAACAGAAGGGAGGGCTGCTCTAGCACGCCCAGCTTCTAGCTTGAGCCACTGCAGGCATGTGCCTGCATTTCTAGAATTAAACATGAATGTCTGTGCACTTGTAAATCAGTTCAATCTTTGCAGGTTAGACTAACACCTTGCTGGGTTAGATAAACACCTTGCTGGGGTCGTTTGACCCCAGTACTCTTTCCTGCCATGGCAGGGGGTCGGACTAGATGATCTTCTCAGGTCCCTTCCGACCCTAGAAACTATGAAACCTGCAAAGATTGAATCAATTCGGGCTCTGGCTTTTTGAATAGCTATCCCTAGCTTAGTTGTACAGTATTAATCAGGATTTAGGCTTCTAATCACTACCACAATATAGTTAAAAATAACAACCTGGTTTATATTTAGGCATAGCTTTCTTTTCCTGCCCAGGGAAGAGTTAAGCACCACTTTTTCATGTCAAGGAAAAATATTATTATTGATAATAATGATTTTTATCCTGCCATATTCAGAAAGTCAGTGGCTTACAATAAATGACAAACAGCCTACAGATAAAAAACAACAGTAAACTCCCCAAATAACAGCCAAAAACTTGGAAATTCCACCTGCACTCTTGCTTCCTTACCTATCACTCAGGACAGCAACCATACGATCAATCCCAAAGATGCTTCCCAAGCCCTAATCTCCCCCTTTTCCAAAGTTCGGATGCCAATTGCTCTTCTTTATTTATCCCTGTCTCTTCACCACAATTCCTCCATCGCCTTCTCATGAACCAAGTGAGCATATAAATATTTGTTTATTTACATTTGTATTATGTATTAGTTACAAACGCGTTACAATACAATTACAGCATCTAGCGTGTTTGTACTGCCCTGAACACCACTGAACTGCCCACAGCTGAAAATAAATATGTAAAGATTAATGTATAATATAAAATTCAAAGCATAAATGTATGATGCAATGTACATTTCTGGCTGGTTTCTGGCATTGAACATTATGCTTTATATTATTCTATATCATACACTTATCTTTATTTATTTTCAGCTATGAACAATGTGTGTTCAGGGCAGTATTAGAATGCTAGATGCTAAAGAAGCCAGGTCCTCTGCTAAGCCAGGTTCACATACGCTACAATGAAGAAGCATAAACCTATTTTCTATAGCACAATGCAGTTTCATAGCTTGTTCTGTGTCAATAAAAACATGCAAATTCTAATGCAAAATTACTCATCCAGTATGATCTTGGAACTACTGATGACTCAAAAATAGGGTTGTGAATAATTTTGTTTTTCATTCCTTGTTTATTTCTGCTACTTAGAGAGGATTAAGTTAGCTGTTGTAGCTTATTTCGCAATTCATATTGATATCAAATGCAATTGTGACTTCTGATGGGGGAAATCAACAAGTACACATTAGGTTCATGCTAGGCAACATTGATCCCATTTTCATATACAGGCTCTTAGTACAAGAACAGGGAACACTGGCAGAACTGGAGAAAAAACCATGGTGTTTAGAAGCATTATTTTCCCTGAAATTATCTGTAGATCTTTCAAACAGAAACACCGATTCATTTAACCCAGGGGCATCAAACTCATCTGAACAGCACAGGGTTAGTTAGCCCTGTGAGTTAGATCAGGCCTGTGGACTTACTCACTCCCCTTTCCCCACCCCATCCTGGATCCAGTGCTGGTGGTGCCTGCTTCAACAGGTCCAGGACATGTACTGTGGGCACCCCACTCCTGCATGTCAGATCAATGCCTGCTTTGGCCAGTCTCGGATTGCAGGTGCTGCCTGAGGCTCATGTCCCAGACCAACCAGAGTGGGTGCTGAAGCCAGCATGCAGCAGTGTTGGGGAGGAAGTCCCAGGCAGGCCCTGCGTGGCTGTTGTGTAGAGCACACATGCCGCAGCGTGTGTCCCAGGCCCTGCACATGTGGCCAATTCGGCACACAACATGTGCAGGTCAACTCAAGACCCAAGGCCAGCATCAGGATGTGGATGATGTAGCTCCACAGGCCAACTATCTTCGACACCCCTGATTTAACTAGTACACCACAGAATGGTCACAATCAATAACCATGTTATCCTTAACATTCACTGGAAATCACATTTTCTAACTTAAAAACCATAAGAGGATAACCTTCATATTAGGACAATGAACTCAGCATCTAAGCACTTGTCAACAACCAAAATTATTTGGGACTAGCTCATGTCCTTTAAATTCCCACCCTACCTTAAATTAGCTTTCAAATATAGATATGACCTGATTGACTTTACATACCCAAATATCAACTGAAACATCCAAAGACAGGATTTTGACATTCTGCTTTGGCCTATTTGAACTCTACGCACTGCCTGGGGCATACCAACTAGTGCAGGTTGCCAGACTCGAGAAGCTAGAGTTAGAGATTTTGCATGACCCAGTAACTATGGCACAGTACTAGCTTAGTACTTTTTAAAACTGATAAACACTTACTGGTCCAATACCATCTTCAGATCTTTCTCTAGGTTTCTGTTTCTGTGGGGGGAGGAGTGAAATCATTTCTTTCTTCATTTGTTGAAGAACTTTCCTCAGCTCAGCATTTTCTACTAGAAGTTGTTTTTGGCATTGCTCGTAATCCCTTAACAGAGCTTTATACATTTCTTCTTCATTCCTGAAAGTAGAAGCCTTATAATAATGAACTATGACACATTCTTCAATTAATGAACATTGTTATATAGCTATCAACTTACCTGGCTTCTGTTTTATCAGTTCTCCAACCACCTCTCTTCCCATCAACTCGACCTACATAATTTAGAACTTCCATAGCTAAAAAAATAAGAAGGGTAAGAAAGATAGTTCAGAGTGTGAAATAAAGGTGTATATCTAAACAATAAATCCTACCTTTGCATATTTGCCTTAATATGTAGATAGTGTCAACAGACCTCCCAACACCGAACATTAAAAAAAAAATATATCAGTCTTTGCACCCACAGGAGACCAAAAGTCCCTGCAAACAAAATTAAGAGATGATAAAAGCCCACAGGAAATTCTGACAGCTTGGAGTAAAGCATCACATTTGATATACCCCATCTGATCTTGCTTATATACACTCAAAACACTGCATGGCAGAGAACACTTCCCTGGGCAGGAGTAGAAAGCCATGACTAGATATAAACCAGCTTGTTATTTTTAATGATACTGTAGTAGTGATTAGTACTGTATGACTACAGAGATGTTCCCACCCTGAATAATACACAATCTAAGAAAGCAGGCAACACATGAAGTGAGAGAGGTTGACATCAGATATGTAATTTTTCCTGGCTTATTGCTTCAATTACATCACCTTTCTCTTCACAATTGTCCATTTGCTCCACCTCCTATGCGACAAAAACACTTTTCTTCACAGCCTGTCCTAGCCTTTATCTAGCATGTCTTACTTAGCACCAAGCTGTCAACTCCTATCATTGCCTGGAAAGAATTCCCTGTACATATCTGTAAACCCCTCTAACTTTCCTTCTTTTAATCCTTCCTCAAGGAAACTCTCTACAGTACCTATGAAGATCAACAATAGTCAGGCAGTTAGTGTGCCATGAACACTGACTATCATGCTGATCAGAAGTATAACTGTTACCTTTTGTTCCCCATCTGTCTGTATTCACATGGTGTCTCTGGTGTTAACACTCTCTTGTTAGAGTGTAAGGTCTTTGGGATGGGACTGCCTTTTTGTTCTTTTCCCCGTGCCTAGCAAAATAGGACCCTTGTGCATAACTAGGGCTCTGCAGGCACTAACACAATGAGCCATAGAAATTAAAATAAAGATATTCCACAAAGCTTTATATACTGTCAGTTGCTGAATACCTGTATTCAGCAACTGAACAGATCATCCATGTTTGGGCTTTAAAGTGTTTCCTGGTACATGAGCAGTTACTATCCTTCACAAGAGCTTTAAGTTTTCAAAATTAATTCCAAATATGCAGATTGTTATGGAACAGTTTGCCACAGATATGTCACACTTAAAAAGTTGTCAATTCAAACCCAAATAAAAACACCACCAAACAAAATTAGGGTGAAAGACAATGTCTACCTCTTCTACAATGCTTTTCTATTGTAATCATTTGAGATGTTAAATTATCCATCTAATAGATAGTCGCCTTGGCTATAAAGATAATTTCTAAGATTATATTCATTTTCCACGTGATTTTAGGGTATGTATACACTGCAAACAAGTCGTCTGTAACTTGGGTTGAGTTAGCTGGGGAAACCTGACATTGATCTTGCACTGCTAACAAGGGCACTTTTAGATGGGGGTGGGGACAGAGTGCCCCTGTGCTTAAAAATGGCAGCAGGGGTGCTTCAACTAAAGTTCGTTCAATGTTCAAGTGCCACTGCTGCCATTTTTAAGCACAGGGTGCTGATACACAAGATGCAGGAGGCTGCTGGATCACTGTAATTGCCATGCTCCAGCAGACTCAATTATTGGATTCTGCTTTGATGTGCTGGAATTCCAGCGTGAAGAAGCCTCTGCACTCGTATGTAGACACCCTTAGTTGCTCCTTTATCTTCACTCTTAAATGCCTACTCCAAGTAACAATACTGTACTGAAGGGCAAGACTAATAACGCAAACCTAAACACAAAATAAATTATGCTGTGCATACAGCGGAAGCGGTATGTTTTAAGAGAAACATCCACACACAGTAGAAAGTAGAACATGCTTAATATTTTTAAGAAATGGTAGAGCACCTGAAAGACATGACAGTAAGACATAAAACTCTTCCCCAGTCCTCACAATCTGTCTCTACACAAATGTTATAATTCCTCTTAAATATCCCCCCTTTCCCTAGAATTAGACTGGGCTCCAGGAATCTACCAATATTTTAAGAAGTGCCAGCTAACTGTGGTCATAGGTGGTGAACACAATATAGGGCCTCAATGGTGATACCTAGAGGAAGGGTTAGCAACATTTTCCAGCTTGAGGGGAGGGCAGGAGGACGGGTAGTAGAATGACCCAGCTTGTGTCAGAGTCTGCTGGGTGGGCATTAAGACCCAGCTGCTGCTTCTCCTTACCACTCAGCTGCACTTTGGTACTGCAAGAGGACCCCCCAGCCCAAAATAAGAGCCCAAGCCTGAACTGCCCAACTGAGGCATGGCACAGGCAGAGCTCCCCCTCGCTCGAGCCCTAGGCAACTGACTGCAGCACAGGGCAGGGAGAGCAACCCTGTGCCAGAGCCCCAGTTTGACTGTGGTGCAATGCAGGGACACCTGCCCCTCTACTGGAGCCCAAGGCAACTGACTTCAGTGAAGTGTGGGGAGAGTCCCACGGTGCCAAATACCATCTAAGCCACAGCTCCACGTGTCATAGGTTCCACAGGTCTAGACCCCTGGCCTAGAGGTTTTACTACATTATCAAGTATATGTCTTAAGATCTGAACTGCTAGCAACAGTAGTGAGAAATTATGGGGTAGAAGGGATCAGTCCTATTTAGAATTGAGAAAGTTATCAAGATTCTCACTGGAGTACTAACTAGTTTTCTTTGGCTTCTGTCTATAAGAAAGTAAACACTAAAAAACTGTATTTTTAAAGATGTGTAAAACATAACAACACCAAGGTTTTCACCTACTCTACAAACAAGAATTTGAAAATTACACATTTTGTGCAGTGCTCTCTTTATGATACCGTTCTGGAAATCAAATAGCACCCTAGGTAAGGGGGTTCCGTTGCTGAGAACTAAGGTGGTAAACAAAGCACATATTTACAACTTTATTTACAACTTTAGAGCTTTATTATCTAAACTGTGTACAGTAGTGATATATTTACTTACCTATCTTTTTATCCTTTTTGTTCATAACTAGTTGATGCAATCGTTCTTTTAGTTTGTTGTATTCTCTTTCTTTTCTTTTCATATCGTGATTGTACTGAGTAGCCCGACTTGCAATAATATTCTGCAATTTCTGCACCTAAAATACCCCCCCAAAACATACAGCTCTTCACATTATACAAAAAATTCTTTCCTTTAAAATTAAAAACAAAAATCAACATTGTTCTGTAAAACTAGGAACTGGTTGAGATTAGTAATTGTGAAAGAAAATGAAAAAAGGAATATTTAGGGATAGGAGAGCATGCATCTTGTAACATTAAGTACTTCAGAGAACTAGGATGTTGCAGAAAAACAACTACAGCCCTGGCAGATGTTATACGTAAGATGCAATTAACCAGTTAGTCACATCTTAAAATGTAACCTGGCCACACATTCAATTAATTGCAAACCAAAAACCAAAATCTGGCCACAAAATTATTATAAATTCTTCATGTGATAATATTGTGGCTGGTTTCAATGGCATGCTAAAATGAACATGCTGGCTGAATGGACCACAGTGGGGCTCAAATAGGCCCCACCCAGTGCAGCCACCACCAGCTGCTGATTAGTTGATCAGTGGAAGCATGGGGACTGTGCCAGGGCTCATCCAAGTCCTAACATGCTCCAATGCTGCTAGAGGATCAGTTAACTGGCAGCTGACTCTGCCCACTCAAACCAGTCTGGTGGGTCTTGGAGCCAACCAACAAACCAGCTTAGTTGTTAAGAATTTACAACTATAGCATGTCCAATATACTTAGCTGAACATTAACATGCTAAGTACATATGCTCACTATTGTGACAAAAAACTAGAGAAAATTTTTAAAAAATAATTAAACAAAAACATTGCAGTGAAACCAAAGATAAGGAATTCCAAGCCTCACGTTGGTAATTTAGGCAAAGTCTTGTCTGTTGAAAACTTCAGTGTGGATTTCATTCATTCCCCCACCCAGATTTCCAAGGATCCATTCCATGTTCTGAATAGTTGTTCCCCCATGCTCCCTGCCCCCCTGTTTTCTACATCCACATGATAAACACTTATTTGCTTTATTATGGGCAAAAATGCTATAACATTGGGCATGCTGTAGGACCCTGATGTTTACTAAAAGTGACTCAAAAGTAATCTGAGTCCAACCATTTGTCATCTCACATGGACACAATATTAGAAAAAGCTCAACTGCAACACTGCATGTGAGTTTGATCAATCAATGGTTTATGAGATGTACAGGCTAACTCACCTCATCCTTTTCATTTTTAAGTAATTGGTGCAGATTTCTGTTTTTGCACTGAAGCTGTCTGTCTCTTTCCTGAAGTCCAACTATCTCCCTTTTAGAGGCTTCTAGTTGCTCCTAAAGAAAATGTTTATAATACAATCTTAATTCAAATTTACAAAAGAAAAAAACCCAAAAAATTAATTTCAGACAAGTTTGTTCTTGTTGAACCATCAGAAATCCAGTATGTTGGCAGAGCCCACTTGCATAATACATGTCAAGTGGAACCTAATTTCTGAATAAAGAGAAGTATTTAGCCATGTTAGCTTGATATCAGGCAGAAGGCAGGATAGAGATGGGCCTTATAGACTATCAGAATCAGAGATCCATAAGCTTTGACAATCCACAGATCACTTCATCCACCACTACACAAATGCTACTCATCAGATAGTGTCAGCTGAAGTGATCGCTGCTCACAAAAGCTTAACTGAATCGGAGATGACTAGTCTATAAAGTGCATCTCCACCCTACCTTCTACCTAATTTCTGAAATTCCGTTTACGGGGTCTATTATACATATGGCAGTCTGCTACACTGGAGTACTACAGTAAATTAATTTCATGGAGATTTTACTGAACATATACAGAAAACTTAAATCAGTACCATATTACTACTTTTAGTTTGATATGGAATGCACTTAATATTTTGCTGCCTTTAGATTTTTAAATACTCAGTATACTATAATATGTACAGAAGTCAGGGATGGAGCTAGATGCTTTGGACTCCAGCTCTTTTGTCGATTTGGGGCTCAGAGATGGACACATTAGCTGGCTGCTTTTGAAAAAAGGATCAGTGAGAGTTGAACAGTAATCTCAGGACTGAATGGAGCAGTTTACAGATACTGTTTCAGAGTAGCTTTAGATAGGTATCACTGTAGTTACTGTAGCAGATTGCACTAATGACCGTCAATTGACATTCTGAAGGTTTTGGTCAACTAAAAAAGGCTAGAAATACACCTCCTGCTTTTTTTTTTTTTAAAGTTAGATTCCAGAGCAAAATACTGCAGCTTCAGTTCTGCAATAAATCATGTGGCCAAGATATATCAAACTACTCGAGGCCATTTTCTTTGTCAATATCAAGAGTACAGAAATATGAAGAAACTATATGAGCATTTAGGACAGCGGATCTCAACCCTTCAGAAAATGCCAATTCTTAGTTTTCATTCATTTTGATTATGGAAAAAATAAGAGAGCAAGTCCACAACAGGTCAAGATGCATTTTGATGCTTTAGATTCCTATTTGAAATCTCTGGGTTTATCTTGTATAGCATGTTTACATGTTTGCCCGTAGCAGTGCCATGTTGCGCAGCATCCCAAGAAACCCATAATAGGGTCTCATGACACCCTGGTTGTAAAAATCACTCATTTAGGAATGTCTAAGTATGCCATAACTGAATACAGGTAACATCTTATACAATGCAACATCTGTAAAAAGGGCTCTTCCATCACAACTGAAAGTAATACTGTGAAAAAAATTTATGGCCTGAGGGCCAGATAAGCACTGCATCAACACAAGAACAATGAGGAAGGCAAAATGTCCCAGATGCATGCAAGGTAGAGTAATTTGCCCGAGTGTGCAGGCAACTAACATTTCAGAAATTACATTTTTCCAAAAGCAGGTGTACTATCACAAAAGGGAATTTAAATGTTGCAGGACAGTTTTGTTTCCATGCAAATTAAACTCCTCAGGACTCGGATTGTTGTGTACAGTGAATCAAGACGTTATTTTTCTAGGCAAATTGAGACTTCTATGCACTACTACAATACAAATACTAGGGGAAAACAACAGTGATAGCCAATCTTCTCAAAAAGCAAAACAGGTGCTCAGTTATCCACTGAAATTACATTTGCTTTGGTAGGATATAGCTGTGGAAAAGAAAATGTGTCTCACAGCTGACCTACAATTCAAAATTTGCTATGTACTTTCAAATATAAATTTTTCCATGCAGTTCTTGCCACTAACAATAATGGGCCATTGTTTATAGTTTAACCTAAAAGAACACAAGGTTATAGAGCCTTTACAACCAACTTGGTCAAAATTCAAGCTAGTAGTCAAAAATGCATTGTGACTGCTCTGAATAGACCTGGTGTAGAAACTCGGTAATAAGGTGTCCAGGGAACAATACAGGGAATGAACTATATTCCAGTCTTAGAAATCTAGATGACATTTGAAAAGCAGCATGGATAAGCCTGCTACTACTTGTGCCAATATTACTAATTACTCTATGAAGTAATTCATTTTCTAGCAAGGAAAACCTAACATCTCTCCCAATATACTAGTAAAAGATGAAGTCCAAACACCTCCCAAGATTTTCACATTCACCATGCATTATAACCATCTAATCCAATTAATCTTCCTCCTGTACAGGTGGTCAGAAACCATTCATAAATAGTATCATTAGAGAAATAAGGATTCAGACTTTATTTCTCCTTCCCATTAACTCATTTTCATTAAGTTTAATGAGCTTTCACTCAATTATGAAAAAAAATGACACCAGAGAAATAACATACAGGATAATTAAAGTTTTTAACATACAAGCAAATTACAACAACCGAGAATTTAGCATTATTAAATGAGTGCATTACATTATGATGTAAGTTATGAAAGAATGAATTTTCTACCTTTAGTTTGGCATAGCAGTTCTGCAGATGATCCATATCACTACCCAATTTCAAGTGCTGCACTTCCATCTCTTCCTGAGCTCGGAGGTTCTTGCGTTGAAGTACAAGTAGTTCATTCATACAATTTAAGATAGATATTAAGTTTAATTCTTTACCTTTGGACTCTGCATAAAGTGAAGGGAAACCCAGTGTTGTCAACTCCTGATGTAAGAGAGAGAGAGATGAAAGTGATTTCTTTTTCTGACTTAAAAATTCTGTATTAGGATATCAAAGGACATTCATTTCTGTAGGGAAGATGCCATCATTTTGGTCTTGAGAAGTTACAGGCAAAATGCCTACTTCATGAGACTAAGTTCTTCCATTCCAGAGAACATTCACACCCTTTCTACAGGTGATCGACTATTGTTCTTAATATCTGAAAATCTGCTTACCCTATTAAGATAGGATATACTCTGTTCAACATTCTCTTCTGTGCAGAAGGCACTGAAAAAGCTGTTCATACTTTTGGATGAAGGCAGTGGCAAGCGTAGCACTTGTTGCATGTTTAAGCTTGAGGGAGACATCTTTTTTTCTGAGGTATATTGAGAAGTATTTTTGCTATCTAAAACTCAAAATATTAAGGAACAAGTCAAGACTAATAACTCAATACACTAAAAAAACCATACAATCCCTTAAAGCAAGATCAATCATAATCTAGAACTTTTAGTTCTAAATTTAATTTCATTTTAAGTAAGAGCTTAAAAGTACATTCTAAACAAAATACAAGGTATCAGTTTCTACTGAAAAGTAAAACTTTGACAACATTCTAAAACCTTTTTCTTAGAACAAATCATCTTTTCACAAAGCAGGAAAAATTCTAAGTTACTGGATTTGCTTACTTAGATTTCCATTTATCATGCATGACCAAAATTTGTAAATAAAAGTTTTATAAATTATATTTGATTGTACATCTTATCTTACTCTCCACCGACTCAAATGTACACAAAAGTACCCTTTCTTTCAATGCAGTTAAAATCAAAAGATAGGGTGAGAAAGAACCTGAATAAATAAAGAAAAGTGCTGCATCCATGTAACATATGCACAGACCCTGGAAAATGTAAATATCTAGATTTCTTTCACAAATGGGAAAATAATTGTTAGTAGTAACCATTTTGTAAAATCACTTACCCAAGTAGAAATTGCGATAGATACTACTGCATTATCCAGTATTTCTACTTGCAGTCAATTCGATTCCACACAGAAAATACCAGCCTCACTCTATAGTGCCCATTAAATATCATCAGGGATCCAGGTTTTCCGTTTCCCCCAGAAAAATGGAAAAAACATGGATTTTTCCATTTGAACTGAGAAACGCACAGATTTTCCACTACTGCAAAGAGCTCTCTGCAGGCTGGCAGATTTCCAGCCTGCAGGGGGCTGGGGGAGCAGGAGGAGGGCAGTCAGGCAGGAGATGCCATATTCATGTGCGCACTCACACATGTACATGGTCACCAGGTAGCCTGGAGAGCAGCACCTGCAGGTAAGTCTGGCAGGAGTTGAGAAGGGGGAAGGGGGACTGAGGCTCCCATAGGGAGGGAGAGAGTAAGTTAAGTACGGCTGAGGCTGCTGCCCAGCCTGGGCACTGTGCAGGATTTGGGGCCCAGCGCCAGAATGTGTGGCCGCAGGGTCCCCATGGGGAGCGGGAGGGAGCCACAGGCAGCTCATCCAGGGGATGGGGCTGGCTCTATGCTACTGCATGCACTTTTGGGGGAGGCATGGGGAGCACATGCACCCCAGATCTCTGTGCAGGGTGGGGGCGGATGGAGGCCGCCCCTGCTCCCCAGGGCTTCTGAAGCCCAGCAGGTGGGACCCTGCATGGCAAAGCAGAGTGGGGCAGGGAAGCTCCCTGTCGCTGCAAGCACCATGCCACCATGGCAAAGTGCACCTTGCCTGCCCCAGCAGGCCCCATGCCTGCCCCAGCAACAGCGGAGGTAGCAGCACAGAATTGTTCCTGTCGCTGCTGCTGGATGGACAAGAGGTGCCTCATCGTGGCAGGGCAGAGCTCCCAATGGTGGCAATGAGCTTCCCCACCCGGCCTTGCTCTGCCCTGCTACACCAGGGCACCACCCACTGGGCTCCAAAGGCCCTGAGGGGGTGGGGCGGCAGCAGGGCAGGGAGCCCAAGCTTGCAGGGGGAAGCCTGCATCTTCTTGCCTCCTGTTCTCCCCCCACCCCACCCCACCCCACCCCACCCCAAGGGGCTCTGCTTGGGCCATGCTGCTCTGATCTGCCACAGTAGCTGCTGCCTCCAGCAGGCAGCAGCCAAGGCTTGGATGCTGATTTGCGGGTCAGTGGTCTGCAGGTCCCTATCCCCATAGACCAGGCATCTGGGGGCCCCTTCCAGCAGGGCTGGGTGGGTGGAGGTCTGTAGCTAGTGAGTGAGGGGCACCACCAGGGCTGGGGAGGGGTGGGGGCTGTGCATTGGGAGCAAGGGGCCTGGATCTGCATCCTGGTGAGTGAAGGGGGCAGGGGGCTATCTGATTTTCCATGATAAAAAACTCAAAATCAAATGTAAAAATTTATAGGTGTTTAAAATTGATTTTATTATAGTGACTGAGGCACTGGCAAGCTACCAAATTCCTTTAAAATTGTAAATATATCAATAAAACATTGTGCTCAATTGATACCTATCTATAGTGATGTTTCATTTTAATTATGGATTTGGGGGGTTTTAATCCGAGAACTTGTGATTTTTTAAACAGAGGAAACCAAGATCCCTGAATATCTTTATGCTAATGATATGTCCATTTTCTAAAGCAAGAATATAACCAATTTTGTCTAACTAGAAGTTACCTGATGACAGCGCTGGCACAGTAATAGTCTTCCAATCTCCCATAGCAACAAAGACAGCCAGAATACCTGAGCAACTGGTTGAGCAGTGAAGTATTTAGTACAACTGCTGGTAATATCTCCTACGTAGGCATATCCTAAAATAGCAGGAACATTTTAGATTAACAATAGCATCTAACAGAGCGAGATGATTAAAGCAGGCATAAAAGAGTCACTGGTTGGCTCAAACCCATTTCAACTTGCTATAGATACACAAATATAGAGGAGCCCAATATTTACAGCATAATAAATGTAACAAGTTTTTAAATACAGGCAGCCAGGCGCAGCAATCTTTAGTGTAAGCTTTATATTAAGACACCCTGCAAAGATTAAAAAAAAAAAAAAAAAAAAAAAAAAA